TCTCTTTGCACTGCTAAATAAATGAGGGGGAGGGAAAGGGAAGGAGGAATGAGAAAGAGACAGAGGCGGAGCCTGTGCTTCCCACCCGGATGCGCCTCCTTTCGTTGCACTCTGGGTTGGACTTGGGGCAACATTGGATTTTCGTATCTTGGCGATGTCGGAAGCGCGCAATTTCGATAAGCGGCCCCAACTCGATGAAATTTGCAGACTGTTCGATCGAACGAACCGGTTGTTCTCTCTCTCTCTCTCTCTCCCTTTCTTGCTCTGACCCCCACTAGTGGCCTTATTCTACGCAAAAATAAAATAGGATTTCTTTTTTTTTTACCGCCGCTGCTGAAAGCATCGCACGCACGCACGCACGCGAGCTTCAAGCACATTTTTCATGTTCTGGGGTTACGGTAGTGTTAATACTCTAAAAGAATGCATCCTTAATACCTCCGTCCGATAACTATCTAATATTCGTCAATTAAAAGCCTCTCTCGCCCAGGACCTTGTAATGAATTGTATGTAGTGCGCGCGCGCGTTGCTATTCGACTTTGTCTCGCGATCTCATCTAGATCGCGAATGAACAATGCACACCATCCTTTTTGCTCGCTTTGGCGAAATACTATTGAAAATTTAGATTGGAGGATAAAGATTAACCGTTTACTCGGCTTATGAATATTAATGATGCGCGCTCGCTCTTCTTACGCTTTCAATTCATGCATCTTATACTCTTCTTCGAGCGTTCGAACAATCTCTTTTAATGATATTCGAAGAAATGTTAAATAAATGTTCAAGTTCAGTGCTTTATGGATTACGCGAATTATATTCAATGACTGCGGATTAAGAGAGATTAATTTTTCGACCTCGAATGTATGGCCGGGTCTTGTACTTATTTATATTCGATTAAACTTCAACGTGGATTTTATTATTTCTATAAAAATAACTTTTAATATAATTTTCTTTATTTCCAATGTCTATTTTGAGAAAGTGTTCAAAAGTGTTGAAATAATATGAAAGTAATGAAACTGACTTATAGAATTGATAATAATTAATTCATTCATATGCGAAGCATTATAATAAAGAATTCAATTAGTGTAATTGTGAAATGTCACTTATACATTATTCTGAAGGATAATTTTCGATAAAAATTACACCATAAATATTAATAAAGTTTTACATTATTATTGACAGTATATTTTGATTGTTTAATGTTGTATTATATTCAGTGTTATCGAGTTAATATTTATCATAAATTTACGTTTATAAGTGTTTCATATGTTTTTTTAATCAATATTAAATAATAAAAATATTAATAATAAAATATTAAATACAGAAGCCTCGTAGTATAAATACGTTATTTATACATAAATTAAATTTTTTGAATTTTATTTTATATTCCTACGTTTCTTTCATTATTCACATTTACATATTGTTAGTGTTATTCATATATGGAGGATCGACAAATAAATGTCGCATATTTCTCGTTTTTTTTTACTGTTTTTTTTCTGTTTCTTTCGAATAAAACTATCTGACAAGTTTTTGCACGTGATATTATTCTAAAACTATTACTTTGTATACTCAATAATTTAAATAAAAGTACAACGTGTTAAGTTTATTAAATTGTAGTTTTCAATACGTATTACAATGGTTGGCTTACAGCTCGAATCTGTATTTAACGATATTTCATTTCATGAAATTCTTCAACATAAGAATTAATGAACATTTATTTGTTTATACGATTCTTAATTTCCTTGATCATTATATTCACAAATATTTCGTTTGTATAATTCATCTGGAAAGTACGAAATATATTCGCATTTTGAATAATTTATAAAATTAGATGCTAATATTTTATATTCTCCAGCTCTTCGCCACAAGTGCAATGTAAATTATAAAATTTTCTTGATAAAAATTATTACAAAAATATTTTTAATATCAAACGTAAATTATATAATTGTGCAATATGCTTTTGCAATAAGAGAGCGTAAGAATTACAGTAATGAATATTAATAAGGCATTTCCCAAATGTATCTTTTTATAAAATCTAACTTTATTATTATTGCATCAGAAAGTTGTGATATTCTGAGACGAAGCACTCGATTCATTTGTATTTATAATTGTATACGATTGATAATCTATATTGTTATATGTAAACATACATTTCATGAATGCATAAATAATTTGAATATTGCACGAAGAATCACATTTTTAATTTCAAATACTAGTACGAATTATTAACAGTAAAATAACACTTAGAGTACAATAATGATTCTTGTGAATTCTTCCGAAAATGAATTAGAAACTATGTTTGAAATGAAATTTATATATAATAACGATATAATAAAAATATCTACTGAGCTTTCATTGCGTTCTCTAAAAATTGTATAATTGTAACATTTAGAAGGCACTTATATAACATTTATAATAACATTTAAAATCCTATGAGCAATTATGATAATTTGAAAAGCATAGGGATAAATTATTTTCTCTAATATAAGCCCCTTAAAGGCCACTTGCAGTGTATTTGCAGTGAATTTTATAAGAAACAATCTTTCCATATACTCCTTGAATTTCGCGTTATAAGAGAAGGTTTCGTCTACGCTGGAAATAAAGCCGAAGAATCAGAGACGATAGCAAGAAGTCGAATTTCAATGCGAGTATTTTCTGTCTTGTCCTGCCTCTACCTCCCTCTCGCGCTTACTCGCTATCTCGTTTTCTATTTTGCTTAAGCACACATACGGACACGGACGGACGCTCACACAACACAATTTTTTCGTGAAGACGATGTGCTACTCGGGAATCATAAAAACGAGTTTCGGAACTTGCTGGCACCCTACCCGCGATGCAAACTCGTTTCTCCCACCCGCACTTTCTTCTAAAAGAAGATACACACGCACATGCACACACACGCTCAAGTATATACGACGAAGTCCACGACGATTTCCTCGCGGGAAGCTTTTGTACCGCGGTAACAACAGCTCTTAGTTGTTTTCGAGGTATCCGCTTATTTTTCTTTCAATTGTTTCTGTCCTCGTCCTCTCGTATAGAAAACCATGTCTCCTTCGTGCACTTGATTACGTGAAGGTGCATGCAAATTTTGCCTTGGTTGTCTTTACTACCGCGGATTCGCTTTGCGCGAGTGTAAACTGCTCTTAGAGACACAAATACGTTTACTTTTCTCGTTGACATAGATATTTTGTTAACTCGCCGTCGTGCGACCGCCCACTTATAACAACAATCGCCCATTAATAATCTTTTGCCGATGTCTTCTTTCATCTCGCTCTTGCAGACTTTTTTTTCTTCATATTATACACTAGTATAGGAACGAAATAAGCAGTTGTCGATGTGTTTCGAAAGAAACTGTTATCTCACTTAGCTGCTTAGATCAAATTGATTTTTCATTCGCATAAACACGTTTATTTCAGCTGATTTATAATGATACCTGCTAATTTGTTCACATTATACACATTTTAAATGTTGGATATACAGTTATTAAGAAGAAAGATGAAGACAAATTTAAGTTGAGTCTTAAGAATAAATATTTACGTTAAGATTCAATTAATCTGAAGGAAAATAAACCGAATATAAAACATTATTACCTTTTTCTATGATAATATTATTAATATATGCACACACGTACACACGCACGTACGCACGCACAGAGAGATAGATAGATAGATAGATAGATAGATAGATAGAGAGCGAGAGAGAGAGAGAAAGAGAGAGAGAGAGTGACTGAGTGAGTCTAAAGCAGTCATGTTATAAACATAAGAAATTAACGTAATTAATTATATATTATTGTTGTTATTATTATTATTATTATTATTAGTATTATTATTATTGTTATTATCGTTATTATAATTATTGCTATTATCGTTATTATTATTATTGTTATTATTATTAACTGATTGTCGGGGCAGAAATATTTATCGTCCCGTCAAAATATTATTTTCCGTCAATACTTTATGAGCTATTAGCTCACAACTTTGTCTTTTTTACTTTTAATATTATGTTATCTTTCAATTGTAATTTCGGTTTAACGAGACACCTTTTACTTTTCAGTTCCACTAGAACTCTTTCAGATTCTCAATTATTCATCATCTACATGCCTATCTATTCTACGTGAATAAGCCATAGAGGTGCAATAATTATTCAATTATTTAGAAATAATAATAAAATATTATTTTATATGTAGTGGTTTATTTAACATTTGAATGTATTATTATTATTTAGCTCAAGGTTCGCATAATAATTTAACATACATCAATTAAAAAGAATTAGTCAAACTGTTTGCATACAATACTTATTATAAAAATGACTTACGAAAATGATGCAAGAACGTGCAACTTACCTGATTCAAGTAAGTTAAGTTTATATCATAAGACTAAGAAATCAGTTTTTGTCTGTATATAAAGATACTAGTTTTTTTAAAAATAAAAAATTTGTCTCAAACGAATATAGGCATATACATAATAATATATAATAAACCGAAATTCGTCTATATAATTGGCTCGATCATTAGGAACTAGAAACTTCTTAAGCCAATTGGCTTATTTTGTCGTATTTTTAGTTAAATCGATAATTAAAGAGACAAGCTGGTATTGACGTCTCGAGTGGGGTGGTATGTTTTGTAAAAATAATTACTACAAGATTAAGTTTTTATCTAACTTTCAATCACGTAAGCGATAAAGTTAATATTGAGATTCTCTCATTAGTTGTTATCGAGCCAGGAGAAACGTGATTAGATTATTTGCTCTAGTCATTGAATGCGAATGGATCGATCGGAAGTTACGATTGGAATTACTTTTAACAATATTATGCTGAAGCATGATGTATATGTGCAATGGGAGAACCGTCTTGTTGTAACACTCACCTTTTCATCGAGACTATTTAGGTCCGGTAGCTGAAAGAAAAAAAAAACATTATTATAGATTTTATAAAGTAATGAATTACTAGATGCTAATTAATAACACAAGTTTCTTGATTTTATCCCTTATTCATTTTCAGTTTTTTTATTTATTTAACTAACAAAAACAACTGGGAACAATTCAAATTCTTCGCGTATAATAACGCTTAATTGGTACTTTTGCGTGAGGGCAATTGTTTATGCCAATGGGATCGTGTTTATGACGTTTATAAGACAAAATCTCACTAGCATAGTTTTCAATTTACTAGTCGTTTTGTTTTCTCCTTCTCCGGATCATCAGTCACGCTTTCCAAATCGGCACACGCTGTGCAACATGACCAATGTACATACGTCTCCCTCTACCTCTCCCCTCTATTGCACTTCTCTCTTTTTATTCGATTTCATCATCAGTAGCCAAATGCTCATTAAAGCGTTGCCAAAATAGCACTTCCGAATTCCTGGATCTACGTCCTTCAATAATTGACCGACGGATTCTCGTCTACGGACTCTCGTCCGTATCTCGCTTGACCGACACGCGACCTTTAAAATGGCATTTTAAAACGTTAAAACATTTGAATGTCAATAGGAACCCGCTGGAGGTGTCGCCGACGTTCGGTCGATATCTAGAAGTTCGAAGGTCAGCCCCCAGAACGGGTGGAGGAAAGTTTCAGATGTATACCAGTTGAAGCGCTTTTAGCAACGATTATTGCAAGGTACAAATGCAAACGTACACCAATGCAGCCTTGAAGCACGGCACGTGCGCCCGCTAATCTCAAAGTCGCTCCGCCACCTGCCGTCAACTCTCGGAAGTGCCACTTACGACAGGATCCTGTAATACCGTAGCTGACGACCGATGGGTATATTAGATTGGAGCGAACTACTCGTACTCAACGGCAGATGTCGGCTGCGCTGTATTCGAGTGCGTAGCTCGTCGGACCTCGTGCGTCAATCGAATGAAATTAGGAGCAATTTGTATCAATCGACCAACCAGCCAGCGAGCCCAAGTTTTTTCTACCATCCCGCAAAATATAATGTCGCGAACGTGGCGTGTTTCAGCACTAGAATAGAAGCCTTGCGGCGAACTCATCAACAGCACGTACGAAGCCCCAATTAACCTCAGTTGCGAAGTTATTGGTAGTCGTTTCTCTATTTTTTGAATGCTCCGAGTGGAGGGACTTTGACTTACAATCGCTGCAACTGCAGGTCTCCAGAAGCTTCGCTCGATTCGCTAACACTTTCTCTTTCGGCGTTACGTAAAGTCGAGCTGGGTAACGAAAGTGCAAACGTCAAGAGCGACAGCGTCGTGGTGTAGGGTACGATACGTCAATCTCGACGAGGGATGATTCTCGAGTGCAAATTGACAAGGGTGTCGATGGGTAATCGACTAAAGCCGGGGCGGTTTATTCGGTTTGACAATGAGCTTTGGATGGAGTAGCTGGGAGGCAGGAGAAAATAGACGGGGATACTTGATTTAGAATTGAAGTTCGCTTTTGTAGATTTGTCAAAGCTGTCAAGACGAGGATTTTATATATTTATATGGTTTCGGATCGGTTGAATTTGTTTACACTTTAAAAGTTCGATAGGTAAGCTATTGAAATTTTACAAATAACGAATGTCCCAATTTTCGTTAGTTAAGTATTTTTTTGCTACAATTTTACATAGTGACATGCCGTTATAATTTTAAATTAAAGTGGTGTTTGTTTTTCTTACTATTACTCGCTGAAATGTGCAGATTTCAATCGTTGGCTATTCATTTCGATGTATTCACTTGCACATTATCATTACATTTTATAATTTTGTTATTTCACGATATTCATTATTTTATATATAAAAATAAAAGATTCTATTGGGAAATTTTTTTTTAAGTATTTTCGATATCTCTTCAATGCAGATATAGAAAATATGGAAAAATCAAAATTCATACTTCGATTCTCTAATACAAGTTTAGATTATTTTATCGAATAAATCAATAACTTAAATCGAGATAATGTTTTCTAAGTGAATTGATTTTGTCTTTAGGATATTCGAGTATATTATATTAATTTAAAAATGACAAAACTTTTGCTCTCTAGAGACATTCGTTCATTTTAATGAAATAATGGATTATCTTAGTAATTGACAAAGTACTTTGAAGAAACGCTAAGTGTACGTGAATGAATAAAATAAACTTGCAGTTCAAACCAGAAGATTTATTTATAAACATATATTGAAAAAACTTGTTCGATCACGTTTTAAAATTTATCACGAGCATTTTTGAAACAAAGAAATCTAAACGCACATAAAAAATATTTATTTTAAAGAGAGATTTAAGATTCTGAAGATGCAGTATTATAAGTATTCTTAGAATGGACGCTTATATGCCAGTGGCAATATTACAATACAATTTCTACACAATATTTTTTTACATTTCTGTTTTTATTTTCGTTATGCTTTTAATTATAATTTTGTGCTGTACACAGTCACTATTAAATTGGTAGCTTTGAGTACTTCTACGAATATACAGTACAAATATAGTATTGTAATATTTTTCAAGTTGGAAATTAACTAAATTCTCCTCCAGACTTACAATCCCTTATTAATGTACACAAATAGTTTTCGTTTGCTAATAAAAAGATACGATTAACTGGCAAAAACATTAATTTGGGATAGAATCGCGAAGACGCGAGGAATAAGGAACGAAAAAAATCGCGTTCCTACGAATGCAACTAGAATCATTTTTACCCTGGGCCTGTGTACATTCATGACAGTAAAAATAATCCAGCACAAGAGCCAAGTGCCAAAGTAACACGAGAAACAGAAATGATATCTCGGCAGTCCTTGCATATCCTATTACCCTCGGAGGTCTATACGACGGCTTTTTCTTAATCTTCTCTCTCTCTCTCTCTCTTGATATATATATATATATATATATATATATATATATATAAATATATATATATATATATATCTTTCCGATTCTGGCGAATTTCCCCCTCCTTCACACTCACTTGCACTGTTTGCCATACTTTCTCCTACTTGCCTTTTTATTGCACTTGTTCTCTTTTTGTCTCGTGTACCATGTATCAAAGGAACATTGAGTTACAGATAACAGGAATACGCACCCATAGAATCAAATTTCGGATCCGATTCCATTTTCCATCGAGTGTTCGGCTGACGAATTTACAACTGTTATCATTTCGTTCATGCGCTGTCAATAACACACGCCATTATTATTATGAATACGGGCAGCTTGTAAGATTTCATGCGATGCACCGAACTTTCGTAATTGAGATGAATTATCTCTCCCCGAACCTCAGTCTGTTTCATCAGTGAAGAATAAAGTAAATAATGTAATGGTTCAGCTCAGACTAATTGGCTAATTATCATGTAATTAATGTAAATACATTGGTAGAGAGTAATTCAACGCGAGACATAATGTATCTTGTTATAGGCTATATTTCTCCTGTTTTCCATTTTCCACCGCATTAAAACTTGAATTTTCATCTGTGCGATTGAATATTAGGAATTTCTTTTAAATATGAATTGATTTTGTATAACCGTAGTAACAATTAATCGATATATCTTATCTTATTGGACTGGTGTTATCGATAGTATGTCGTAAATATCTTTATAACAGAAACTGCATTTTGAAATTTATAAAGTCTCCTTATTTACTTACATTTATCACATCAATCTTTTGCGTTTTTTCTTCTTTAAAACTGAGTCTTTATTATATTGAAACGTAGAAAAATTTCTTAGAAAAACTTTTCTGATACGTGACCCAGAAACGATCAGAGAAAATATCACTTGTTTAAATTACTGCCTCATAAGAATTGAATATCATTTTTATGTTCTTTTCATCTATTATTAATGGAATATTATCAAACTTCACTGTAAATTAAACTTTATATTGTATTATTGGAATAAAAGTATACTGTAGGATAAGACACTTTTTAATAATCTACTTTTTATTTGTAATCATCGATGATTTAGCAAATTTGATCCAATTCGTCAAATTACAAATACACCTAAAATTTGATTATGATGTAGCACTAGCGGGTTTGCAGTTGGAAGGTTCTATAATACCTTAGGGTCCAATCGTCACTAAGCCTCAACGTTTTTCTGCGGTTAAAGGTTAAGATCTGACTATAAAGTAGAGCTGAATGTTGTGCAAAGCTTCACCTCGGAGCATCAACGGACAAGGAATTATTCCATACTAAGTTCCAATTCACCCTTTGCCTCTTATCGCTCCGTAATGGACATTGTCGCCACAATGCCGGAACACAATTAGACTGTCTTAAATGTAGTCAAGCACATTAATTATACTACAAATACAACTAGAACTATCTTGGATGCATTCACAAAAGACCATACGGTACTTGTTTCAATTATGTGACCCTTTAATTACCGCTGAATTTATGTTGGTAAGCTCATATATATATATATATATTTTACGGCTACCTTACAATCATTTTAAAATGATAACAAATAACCTTTTCAATGTTTCTGCAAATGAATTTACTCGCACGTATACGGGATGTAAATATGTAAATAGAATAGGTATTATGAAGATAAACATTCTCTTTAAAATAGTATATAAAAGACTAAAATAGAGTATTTGACTGGAGGATGATACGTGTTTATGTCAGCACGCAACTGCAATAAAATTCAGTGTCCACTTTAACCTAAAGAGCAAATTGATATATTTTAGGAAACATTACACCTCCATTAATTACACGGACATAGAGATAAATATATTTCCAGATCAACAAAATTCACTTTATACGTTTACAATTGTATGTTTTTAACATTTTAAAATAATTCTTGGAAAATAAATTTAATGCTGAACATTCGATATGCATCTGAGTATAAAAGAATCTAAATAATAAATTTGTATTCACGCTATAATTATCGTTGTAATAATATATTAAAATTCACTACCAATTTTCAATGTTAATTTAAATAATTTATAAATTGATTGCATTTTTATTTATAAACGATTGTAGAATTTAAATGAA